GATCATATGGTAGTTTTATTTTTAATTTTTTGAGGATCCTCCATGCTGTTTTCCATAGTGCCTACACCAATTTACATTCCCACCAACAGGGTAGGAGGGTTACCTTTTCTCCCCACCCTCTCCAGCGTTTATTATTTGTAGACTTTTTGATGGTGGCCATTCTGACAGGTGTGAGGGCATATCTCAGTGTTGTTTTGATTCGCACCTCTCTGATAATTATAGATGTTGAGCATCTTTTCATGCGCCTGTTGGCCATCTGTGTGCCATCTTCCCTGTATCTGTGGTGCACTGGTAGGTGGTGTGGACCCTCGCCTGTTTGACTGTCAGGACCTGCCTCGTGTGGTGGCTGGTTACCCACTGGTGGGCAGGCCCAGGTCCCAGGGTGGCTTCTTGTGGGACCCCAGGGATCCTGGGGCTGGTGGTGTCCCACTGTGGATGGTTTCCTTTGCTGTGCAGAATCTTTTGAGTTTTATGTAGTCCCGCTTGCGTATTTTTGCTTTTGTTGCCTGTGCTTTTGGTGTCATATCCAAAAAAAATTATTGACAAGATCAATGTTGAGGTACATTTTTTCTTATGTTTTCTACTGGGAGTGTTAGTGTTTGGGGTTTTATGTTTAAGTCTTTTTTTAAAAAAAATTAATTAATTTATATATATATATATATTTTGGCTGCGTTGGGTCTTCGTTACTGCATGCAGGCTTTCTCTAGTTGCGGCAAGCAGGGGCTGCTCTTCATTGTGGTGCGCAGGCTTCTCATCGCAGTGGCTTCTCTTGTTGAGGAGCACAGGCTTTAGGCACACGGGCTTCAGTAATTGTGGCACGCAGCCTCAGTAGTTGTGGCCCACGGGCTTAGTCGCTCTGCGGCATGTGGGATCTTCCCCGACCAGGGCTTGAACCCGTGTCCCCTGCATTGGCAGGCAGATTCTTAACCACTGCACCACCAGGGAAGTCCCTATGTTTAAGTCTTTAATCCATTTTAAGTTAACTTTTATGTGTGGTGTAAAAAAGGGTCGAATTTCATTCTTTCACAGATGTTTTCTTCCAGTCTGTGGCTTTTCATTTCTCTTGATACTGTCTATCACAGAGTAGAATTTTAAAATTTTAATCAATCCCAGCTTATCGATTTTTCCTCTCATGGATCATGTCTTTGGTGTTGTATCTAAAAAGGCATCACAAAACCCAAGATCGTCTATGTTTTTTTCTAAGAGTTTTGTAGTTTTCGTTTTACATGTAGGTCTGTGATCCATTTTGAGTTCACTTTTGTGAAGGGTGTAAGGTCTGTCTAGATTCATGTTTTTGCATGTGGATGTCCGGGTGTTCCAGCCCTGTTTGTTGAAGAGTCTCTCTGCTCCACTGTATTGCTATTGTTCCTTTGTGAAAAATCAGCTGACTATATTTATATGCGTCTATTTCGGAGCTATCTATTCCATTCTATTGATCTATTTGTCTATTTTTTGGTCAATAACACACTCTCTTGGTTATTTATAGTAATTCTTGAAGTTGGTATGGAAATGGGGGCGAGTGCTACCCCCGCATCACATAATAGTAATGATACTTTCGTCCTCTGTTTTCTGCTACGGAGCTCACCAACTCAGAGTGGAACAGTTTATTCCAGCAGTGTGCAAAGATGTGAAGATAAAATCATCTTGAGAGGCAAGGTTTCTGGTAACCAGACTTGAAAAACATTTCCTATGTGTAGGCACTGTTCTGAGTGGCTGGCATCATTCATTCATTGAATTCTCATGATAACCCGATGAAGTTGACAGCATTTACTCCACCATTTCCAGATAAGGAACTGAAGCACAAATAAGTTAAATAAATGCCATGTTTTATCCAGCTCATTAGAGGGGTTGGGTGATCATCTTAGGGGAATATGCTCTGAGCCTGGAGTGTCTTCCCTGGACACCACATACTAAGGGCAATCATGCCATCCATTCTCCCTAAGTTTGCCTCTGGTTTCTCAGGTACTACTCTGTATCTATTTAGTCCAGCCCCAGTTTTCACCTTAAGCTCACACCTGTGCTCCTAGGACTATCCCCGTATGCACACTATAAGCCCTGATGGAGATGATGGATTTCAAGTCATGACTCAACCACTGAGGGTGTTACTAATAATTTAATCATTTCTGATACTTGAAGAAACTCAATTGAGATATAATTTACATACTATACAATTTACCATTTAAAGTGTAGAATTCAGTGGTTTTTATTATATTCAGAGTTGCTCAACCATCACCATAATCTAATTTCAGAACTTTTTAATCACCCCCCACAAAAAAAAAAAACCCTCCAATACCCACTAGCACTCACTGTCCAATACCCCCTCACTCTCCCAGCTTTGGGCAACCACTAATCAATCTACTTTCAGTTTCTATAGACCACAAAGAACTTTTAAAAAATTGTGGCAAAACATACATAACACAAAATTTACCATTTTAACCATTTTTAAAAGTTTTTTTTTTTTATTATGGTAAAAAGCTCCACATACATGAAACTTATCACCTTTACCATTTTTTTTTTTTTTTTTTTTTTTTTTTTTTTTTTTTTGGAAAAAAATTTTTTTTTGCGGTACGGGGTCCTCTTACTGTTGTGGCCTCTCCCGTTGCGGAGCACAGGCTCCGGATGCGCAGGCTCACGGGCCCAGCCGCTCCGTGGCACGAGGGATCTTCCCGGACCTGGGCGCGGACCCGCGCCCCCTGCGTCGGCAGGCGGACTCTCAACCACTGCGCCACCAGGTAAGCCCGCCTTTACCATTTTAAAGTGTACAGTTCAGTGGCAACTAGGACATGTACATCATCATGCAATCATCACCACCATCCATCTCTAGAATTTTTCATCTTCTCAGACTGAAACTCCGTATCCACGTATTCATATCATGATCCAAATCATACCATTTCTGAGCCTCCGTTTGCTCGTGTGACATGACTGCCACATGATTGATTGAATTAAAATTGATGAAATTAAAATTCATGGCGTTACAGTATGCTCATATAGATGAAACGACCAGCATAATGCCTAGCATAGAACTGAAAGTCATGTATATGGGAAAGGAATCTAAAAAAGAGTGGATATATGTATATGTGTAACTGATTCACTTTGCTGTACAGCAGAAGCTAGCACAACATTGTAAATCAACTGTACTCCGATAAAAATTAAAAAAAAAAACTTAAAGTCATGGATTATAAGCCGCCATACACCTTGCCCTTAAGCAAAGGCCTTATACTTAACTTAAATCAATCTAATACATAAACTGCCAAAGGCTAATGCACTCACTACTCAATGTCTGAAATAAGAAGGCAAAGCCGAATTTATTATTACTATAGTAAGGGAGAGTTATGCTGGCCAGACACAGTGTCTCTGAGCAGAGCCTACTGCTGATCCTATACGGGGTTTTTGGGAAATGTGGATTTTCAGGGGCTCTTCTGGTTTGAACATTATCCGTAAAAGCATGTTTGTTCGACGGAGTCTGTTTTGATTGGCTGTCTCTCACCGGTGTGGTTGCTGGAGTGAACCTGTTTCTGATTGGCTGACATTTAGAAGCAGGGAGCTGTCTGATTGGTTGAATGGTCAGCGTGAGTGGTCATTGACGATGGGTTATAAACCCATTCTGTTGGCTACTTGTCATCGTGGCTACAGAAAGATCAATCATTTTCCTAGGAGTGCAGGACCCTTTTATTCTCAGAACCCCTCTTCCAAACGAGGCCCTACCATAGACAAAACCACGTATGTGAAGCTGATCTTTTCCCTCTCTTGGAAACAAACTGCCTTGCATTTCTCTGGTCGATTTGGATCTGGTATAAAGCCTCTCATTAGTCCTCCTCTGCAACTGTGGCACTTCCCTGTTGTTTATTTGGCTCAGTCACTAACATTTCCTTGTTTATCTGGCTCAGTCACTAACTTATTTATTCATGATCTCAGTAAATAGATTCAAGACGTCGTGATGCATACTACAAAAAGATGAATCGATAGACTAAGTAGCTTAAAGCACTGAGATGATCCAGAGGAGATGCTTGTTCTGCTGCTTTCACAAGTCTGTTTGCTTTGCGTTGGGGGCATGAGGCATTTTGAAGTGGGTTAGTTTCATAAGAACAGGAGAGTCTTCTTAAGAGTCGGAAAAGCATGTGTTAACACACAAATGTTACTGTAGGGAA